GTCGAGCCCATTCGTCTCCTTGCTCGTGAAGTAATCCCCTTCAAGTGCCTCTTGAGCTACTTCTGTTGATCCTTTAGACGACCGTAAGTTGAAAAATTCTTTCGCGAATTCGTCGTCGCTATGTTCGTCTCTCGACTCTTCAGATGCAGAACTATCGACGCGGGGAACCGAAGTTGGCCGATCGGGACTCGTGTCTACTTCGGGTGAGCTCGGCCGATTTTCGTGAACGGCGTGAAATGTCATAGAAGACTCGCGATCATCGGCATTWACTKGTGAGGAAGTGAAAAATACGTTAARAAACATATTTTGAGRACTRAATTGTGYTATGTGTTATTTATACGTTATTGTTTTGGATAGAAAAACACCTGGTCCCGTCACGCAATCGCAGCACCTGTCGTATGTGACAGTTATCTTATAAATAATATAACGAGTTTGAAATACGTGACAGGAGAAAGTGATCACTAGAGATAAATCATTCCAGAAAATAACAAAGCTGTTACTCTACTTCTACCCACCGAACTCTTCTTGACATTCCAAAAACTCTTCCTTGGACGAGAAACACACGTTAGGGCCCAGTCTCTCTGGGTTCAAGGTATCCCACGTGTGAGTTGTGCTACTAACGCGGTCCGTGTCGATACTGACGTCAAGAGTGACACAAAATCGATTGGGGAATTTCGTTTCGCTTTCTTTCGATACATCTAATTCAGCCCTGAAATATGATGTCAGTTTGAGTTAAAAAGACATAGGAAACTGAATTTCCCTTAGTCCAGAACTGGACCCTCTTTTCTCAATTACTATAGAAATATTATATGTAAAAGTTAAAAATCCAAAGCGCGCGCTACAGAACGCTGATTCAAAATAATAGTTTTCAACTCCGCGCGCGCAAGGATAAAAGAGGGTCCACTTCTGGACTAAATTTCCCTTCGACAAAGTACCACAAAGCTATGCAAAGGTTATGTAAAACAAAATAAAGAAGAAAAAAGCTTTAAAACATTATCTTTCTACCTGGAATATTTAAGCTTTGTTGCATTAGGATTGATGAATCCAGTGTGAAACTGTACTTGGAATACTCTGATAGACGCCATCTTGCCCTGGACTTTCCCGCCAAGAGTCGATCTTCCATGATACACGATGATCGTGACGTCACCGATTAATGTCAAGTTTACCGGGAAAGTCACTTTGCCATCACTAAGCGTAAACTCCCTATGAAGACAGAGGCAATTTAACGGGAAGGCTCGAGGGAAGTAAAAATAGGAAATTCAGAGTGCTAAAAAGCGGGATAGGAGAGAAGAGAAAGGACAAGCAAAAAAGGGCAAACACTATGGGAATTAGCACCAAAAACACAAGTAAACTTGCCTCATTTTTTCAATTTCTTGCACAGTAGTGAGCGTCCGTTTTTCACCTTGATAAACTTCTATGAACGGTCTACATCCATTTCTAAAGAATAGTTTGCATACTGTAAGGAACGTTTAGTTATTACTAAAAACATATATTGTATTGTGAGCTAAAAAACCCTTCAAACAAATCATAACATTGTTCGTCGATGATAATGGAAAGAGCATGCGTAAGAGTCGAATTACGAGCTTTAATATCACATTYCCACATGGCCTAGCGCCAGGCTTTACTGAGCTAACATGCGCATGCGATTAAGGAGGATACTCGTTACTCAAATACCTCGATCTGTTAAAGGCAGGTACTGGGTTCATAGTGACTGACTTGATGTATAGTGCAGACATTTGCGGTCTTATACTGGGATTGTTGATGAGCTGTGTTATGTACAAAAGATACCTACGAAACAAATAGCAATTTACAGTATTATAATTAATGTACTTGCTAACAAGTGCACGTTTCAATTGAAACAAAGCGCTGTTCTGTCGTCTTCATAAATGTAAACTTTTCGGCTTTTCTGCTTTCGACTAAATACATTTTTTTGGTTGATGACAGTTCGCTAAAGCGTCCAAATTGTTTCACTTGTTTTCTTTCAAGTGCAATTTTCATGGAAACATTTTTGTCGAGTTACCTTTCTTGGGAAGGTGTTAGAGAAACTTTGTGGCCTATTCCACATCGTCGTATACTAAACATATCTGCAGCAACGTTGGGATTTTTGAACAGTTTACAGAACACGAAGAAAGCWGCAACCATAACACCTGACGATACTCGGCCATCCTGGAATATAATACCAGATTTAGCAACTTGGTGTATAACTTGT